GAACGCTTTTGTTGACCTGTTTAAATAAAAAGATTATTTATATATATTTTTATATATTTGTTATATAATTACTAAATAATAATAATAAAACCCCCTAATATCAATACAAGCCTCTGTTTATTAGTTTTGAGAAAAATTTCCCACCCACCCAATTAATACCCCCCCCCCCCCCCGCGTTTATTAAATCTATGCTAAATTTGCACCCCCTTGTATTAAGGACTCGAGAGTAACTTGTCTGATCTATAAAATAAAAAACAATTTACTGGGCTACTAGTTGAACATTAAAACAATTTTTTCTTATGAAGATTTACTTGCTCCAATAAACAAGGAATAATCTAAACTTGTCAAATACAAAAAATATTCCGAACGGTTTTAAAAGCATTTAGCAAAAACTTTTGCTATAATGCATTACCGTGATACTAGTGATACCAGGTTCTGGTGCGGAACCAGAACCTGGTATCACTAGTATCACGGGTTCAGCATAAGTATCTGTTGCCAACGATAAAAGAACAGTTAGTTAATTAAACATGGTTATAAAAATTTTGCGTTAGATTATGTCAGATGATAGATTAGATTAATTGATTTTGTTGTTGTCAGAAAAAAATTTAATGGATAATATAGATATTGACCAGTTTATAAAAAGGCACTTTATAACAACAGAAAAACATTGAAAATCAATACATTAGTAAATATTTTCAGTACTTAAAACTTTGAAATTTTGTAGCAATGAAACTACAGAGTATAATCGAAATACTTTTTTTTTCTTTTGCCAAATTTTTTATTTTGGAAAATTTTGAAGTTGTGGCGAAAATAAAATCTTTATTAAGAAAAATGTTTATTTTATTATCCAGAAAGATATATTTTTTTTATATATATTTTAAATCCTCAATGAAATCTCATCAAAAAACTAAATCAAAAAAGTAATTCACTATTTTACCGACAATATTTTAAATCTACTCTTTCCTATTGGTAGAATCCTGTGTTTTAGTAACACCATAATAAAGTAAAATATTTTATGTGTCTTTAACTTCTAGTAAAGTTTTCTAATAAAATTGGTTCGCAAAAACAAAAGGACAATCACGGTGGTAAGTTTGCGTTAAAATATCCCATTCCAAAATCCAAAATAACATCTCTCCCTCAAAATTTTGCCCGCTTTTATTATAGTTTAAAATATCAATTAGGCAGATATGTAGATAGGTTGAAAGCCTATCTACTACAAATGTGCCTTTTAATTCTCACTATTTGTGTTTCATAGACGAAAGCTTTGCGCCCATTATGGATTTTCGTAACTTTTTGTGTAAACAATAACAAATCTTTTTAAAAAAAATTACATGTATTTTTTGAAATAATATAAAAATTAAAAAAATGTTCCATGTTCTTAGAAATATATTTTTTAAACATATTTTTTCTCATTTATGTTACTCCACCGAGACAGAGAATATTGGGTGAAGGGCGTTTTAAAAATTTAAAGAATGAAGTTTATGACCCTGAATTGGAATAAAAAAATTTACTTTCGAAAATTTTATTTCAAAGTTTTTCAATTTTTTTTATTTTTACACTATGTTTGAAAGAAAATACTTATTAAAAATTTTATTTCACATTTTTTTCTTATGGTGATACTCAAACTATTCACTCAAAACTTTTAAAAAGATAGTTTATCCACAAAAGAAAAGTGAAAAAAAAGTCTTGGAACTTTTAATCTTTTAAACTTTTTTAATCGTTCTTGTTGTAGGGAATTCTGTTAAATATAAAAGTTTTTTTTTTCAGAGCAGCTTCCAATAATAACTATTGAGAAAGTTTCAACTTTGAATACTTATTTTTCAGTTTCAACTTCTTATATTTTAGACTGAATTATTTAATAACTAAAAATTAGTCTTTTTGAAGCCAATTTTAAGGTATGGCTCAAGCAGCAGATCATCAAGCGATTAGTGCTAAGAATATATTAAGTTTGGTTATGAATTTTTTTAGTTGTTTACTTAAAACAATCCATATACAAACTAATCTTTAGGTTATTTATTTAGGTTATTTATTTAGGTTAGGTTATGTAGAAAAGGAAATTTTGATCTAAATTAAAAATTCATTCTGGCTTTTGTAGAAATCATCAGCCACATTTATTATTTTGGACAACTTTAAGTGTTGTCTTAAAAGAAAATGCATTAGACAAAATATTAAATATTAGATGTTATTGAAAAAAATTATATTGAGAATGTTATTGTTGTTTGTCAAATTTATTTTTTATTTTCACTTTTTTATTATTAAAACTGCAACAGTACAGTTAGGACAATTATTTATGTTGTTATTTTCTTGCAGAATAAATTTTCAAACGTTATGGAGTTGATTATGTGAGTTGTTTCTATGCAAAGAAAAGAACCTAAACATTCATCCATTAAAAAATAATTAAAAACAGATCTAAGAAAGACAGAAATGATATAGACTGATGCAGTCTAGATATGTCCAAAATTTTTAATTGCCTTATCATTTTCCGATACCAATGTATCATTCTGATTTTCGACCTTGTAAACCTATTAGTAGGGGAAGGAGGGGTAGGTGGGGTCCAAAATTCTATATTTGTTGTTTAACCAATTATTCTTAAATAATTTTTTGAGAAAAATTCAAAAAACAATTCAGTTTTTGCTATTTTTTTTTTGCTTGACCTTCTACTTCTATTTTAAAAATTTAAAGATATAAAAAATAAAAGTCTTTGCAAAAGTTTCTTTGCGTATAAAGTTATGCAACTTTTCTTTCAAATTTATGCTATTCAAATTTTGATTGGATAAATTTGATTTTTAATCCTTGCGTTTTAGAAAAAAAAAGTTTTATCTGAGGTCTTTTTCTAAAAAACCGTTTTAAATATGTAAAACTTCAAAAAAAAAGTTTTATCTGAAGTCTCTTTCTAAACAAAACGTTTTAAGTAATCAAAAAGACAGATTGCTTTAAAATATCTTAATTTCCTTTTTTTTTTCTTTCTTTTAATCGTTGCTCAAGCTATCAAGAAGGCTATTCAAAATTTCATTTTTTTTCCTCGCTTTTCTTTAATGAAGTCAAGAATAAATCTTCTTTTAAAGTGCCATTCAGTAGGAGTTCAGTAAAATTCTAAAGGTTTAACAACTTTAAAGATAAACAGGCTAAAGGAATACCGCTACCTAAAAGGCTTTATAAAAACAAACTGGGTGATCAAATTTTGAAATTTTCTGCTTTACTCTAAAACGCAGTGAATAGCTAGTTAAAAATTTTTTTAGAAGCAGTTAACAAGTATACCTCAAAGTGGTTGAATGATTGTATCATTCTTGCTAGAGTATTTTGGCAAAAGTTAGCCTCAGGACTTCAAAAAAGAGAAAAGTATTATGTGTTTGGTTCATGATGGAATATGATTAGTATTAACTTTCTAATTAAGTTGTTGCAGTTAGAAAGCTTTGGAGAAAATCCATTTAATTTCAACAGTAGATGTATACTTAATTATTTAAACCATATAAAAAATGAAGGTTCACGCAGTTTAAATATATTTTGGAAAATTATTGTCCAATTATTTGTCCAATGGAATATAATTGAAACCAGCTACAAAAACAAATAGATAACAATGAAAGAGCAGCAAACGTTACATCAGGTGTGCAAGATGAGTTCTATTTTAGTTTGATTAAAGTTACAAGGCAGCCCATTAAGCTGTAAACTAGACATTATTGAAGTAGATAAAGATATGTTAAAATGAAAAAAAAGTTTGAAAAATGAGGTTCTTTATTTTAGGGATACAATGTAGGTCATTGTCGCAGAGATCTATTCTGTTTAAATACATGATTGTTGATATAAAAATACAAACTTCCATCTTATGTCTACCAAAGAACACCCTCATAACCTAGATGTTCTACAAGGAAAGTTCCCGCAGCAATCTCTATCACATATGATGACTTTTATAGTTATTTTCCATTTTCAATAGTATATAACAAACTGTATGAATTATTTTCATATATAATGCCTAATGTTTTTGCTACTTATAAATCGTAAGGTATATTATTGATAAATTAAACTAAATTAAACTACTTTTCTTATATTTAATAATAATAATTTTATCTATTTTTAAAAATGCTTTTTTTTGTCAATATATTAACTTTTATTAAAATCGAAGTAGAAGGCTAAATAATTAAAATGAAAAAAAAATGATTGTGATTTTCAGAATCAGCATCAAAAATTAATTAAGAATAATTGGTTAAACTATAAAAAATCTAAAAAAAGATGATTATGGACCCCCCCCCTACTATTAGAGACAAAGAATGTCACTAATTACATTTCTTACAATTTGAGCTATTATATCAATTTTGCATCAAGTCTGTTCCAATTCTAGACAGTTTTTAGAAGAAATATCTGACAGAAGATATTTTATTTATAATGAAGCCTGTGAAATGCAAAATACGTAACAAAACTAATGTTATGCATCTATAAATGTAGGTTTACAGATGCCTAATAATTTTAGAATCTGTAAATAAACACAAAGCAAAAACGAATGCAATCAAGTTATAAATCAACGTATTCCACACACATTAACAATAAATAGTTTAACAAACTAGTTATAAAATGAACTGAAAGCTTGTTTCTTTATTTTAAAATTTAAAATTGAATTTATTAATTTTTATTTTTATAAAAATATCAACACACAAATACAAAAAAATATTTTTTTTCCTATAACTAATATCATTTTGCAAACAAGCTTTAGTTCATTTCTTAGCTGGTAAATATTGTTAACTTATTTTAATACTGAATTTCAGCTTGTGTTGACATTTTTAAATTTCTTATATTTTTTGTTTCAGAAAGTAAGAACAGATGAATCAAGATAATTAAAGCACAATGAGTAACTTGAATTGAGCTTAATAAAAGCATCTCAAAATGAAAACAATTAATTCTTAAAGATTGGGTTATATATATTTTTATTTAATTTCTATCAAACCAAAATTTATTTGTTATTCCTCAAATAGACAATAAAAATTTCTCTCACATAAAAAAGTTTTTACCTCCATATTCCACATTGTTATACAAACAAACTGATGTAACTATTTTCATATTATTATTTTATCCCTAATAATGCTTTTAAAAGGTTGTGTGGCTATAAAAAAAGCCTTGTGTTTTCACCATTCAGGATTATTAAACTCTTTTTTGACAAGGTATTGAACAGGCGTATCAATAATAAAAGCTTCAGCAACATATCTTTTTTTAAATAGCCATCAAAATTGATCCAATTAAAACCAGACGATTCACAACATTTTATTTGACTTCTGAGTCTATTTCAATTCTCATAGATTAGTATTTCGGAAGTTTTATTTTATTTTGCATCTTAACTCAGTCTTGATACTTTTTTCTACTTTGGAGGTCGCCATTTCGAAATCTAAGTGAGGGACAATGTAAAACTTTTTTAGCTAATATCTTCAAAATACTACTTTTAACGGAAACGATTCAAATATTTTAGATAAATCAGATAGCTAAATTATAAGCTGGATTATCGATAACCGGTTATTTTTTTTAAAAAATTCGCAGTTAAAGAAAAAATATTTACCACCGCGTATTTTGAGTATTGCCGATAGGAAATCAAAGATGTTATGTAACGAAACTGGTAAACTTGTGTGACGAGACTGGATTTGCCAACACTTTCAAAATAACAGAGCAGCCCATTAGATCAAGACCAGCAAAAAGATTAGTCAATAATAATTCCTAAAAAGTCTCTAAACTAAGTTTACAAAGTAGAAACTGTAATAAAAAGGTTTTTAAAAAATCTGACTTGATAGGGTTGATAGCATTAGGGTTTTTGATCTATTTTTATAAACTCGGTCACAAAAAACTTTATATAAGTTTCTTCCCCTGAAGCTAATCCTTCGAAATTTTAGCTTTGTATTTTGAAAAATATAATTTTAAAGGGATGTAATCAAGCTTTTACTATTCAACATTTTTTCTAATGCTATTAGCTGTCAAATCAAATCATTGGAATCTGTGAAGACATTACAGAAAAGATAAATTCCATTAAACATTTTATGATATAAGACACATATGTGTCTTCTTATACGATGAAACTGGTTAATGACGTCAGCCACATAAAAGTTAATGAACTCGAAAGAACTATCAAATTTGAATCTAAAAATTACCCTGAAAAATTAATAAACTTGAAAAAACTATCAAAATGATATTTTCCTAAGATGCTTTTCACCGAGATACGCTTATTTACATTCTTGCTTTAACATTTTAGAATAATGCATGACAGAATTGTAATGTTTTTGTCAAATCACGTCAATTAGAAGTTTTTAAGACGTACTTCGTACATCTGCAGTTTGATCTGTGCTCACTGGGTAGAACTTTAAAAATATTAAGTTAATTTTGCTGCCTAATTTATTTGTAATTTAGTTACATGCTTTGAGAAATAGTTACTAATAACTTTGAATAATTCTTTTTTTAATAAATTAAATAAAACTAAAAAAAAATTATCTAAATAGTATAAAACCAATATATATCATAAAGTATTATTAAGTTTGACCTCGCATTGAAGATTTTAGGATCCGGTTTTACGATCATTGTCTATTTTATAGAATTGTTAAACACTTTTTTTTTTTTTACATTTTTTTTAGCAAAGCAATAATTGGATAGCTGGGCAAAATCATAATATTATAAAAATGTTTAGATTTGGTTAGATTTTTCTTTGAAAATTATATAATATAAACTAGATAATATATATAATATATAATATATAATATATATATATATATATATATATATATATATATATATATATATATATATATATAATATATATATATATATATATATATATATATATATATATATATATAAAATGTAAAAAATATATATATAACATATGTAATATAAAAAATATATGTAATATAAAAAATATATATAATATAAAAATTATATATAGTATAAAAAATATAAATATAATATAAATAACAGCTTAACTGTAATAATTTAATGCGAAGTGTATTTTTATATAACTAAATATCTAAAGTGGTTCATTTACATGAGCGTCGAAAGTTAAATGATGACGAAAAAGTATTTTAACAGGATAATACCCCATGCTATAAATCCCGTTGCGTTTTTAATTGGTTTGCAAAAAATATTCCTATATTCGACAATTAGCATGCATGACATCAAATTCTGACCATAGTTCCATAAAAAACTTAAGGAAGTTCATAAAATGCAATTTTAGTTTTGGAATTTTTGAATTGCTCTCCAAGAAACGTCGGCATCCAAACCAGATAGAGTTTTAATATACTTGATTGAATGAAGTAAAAAAAAAAGTGAAGGGACCCTTGAAAATAATTTTGTATAAATATCCTTTATACAAAATTATTATGTAGGATATATAAATTATTTAAATATATATTTTTCGAAAATTCTACAAAATATTTTAATTAAAATTCTCTCTCTCTCTCTCTCTCTCTCTCTATATATATATATATATATATATATATATATATATATATATATATATGTATATATATATATATATATATATATATATATATATATATATATATATATATATATATATATATATATATATATATATATATATATATATATATATATATATATATATATATATATATATATATATATATATATATGTATATATATATATATATATATATATATATATATATATATATATATATATATATATATATATATATATATATATATATATATATATATAAATATATATATATATATATATAAGAGCTAGTTTGGTTTGGAAACACTTACATTTTTTTGAGGTTTCGATAGTAAGAATCCAAAGAATGCAGTAAATACAATTATAACTGATACAAAAAACTTCATTATGCAATCTTTCACTTTTATTGGACTCACACTTTATAAAAAAACAATAATATATTACAAGAAAAGTGAACATAAAATACTTGAAGATTCTCTTTTGTTGCACCGACCCTTTTAAAAAATAAACAAATCTAATATTAACTTTATAAGGAGTTGTTTATACAGCTAAAAGTTTCGTATGTCCGTGTTAAGCAGTCGGTGAGTTTATTACCACTTGAGAAAAATACACAAATAACAAGTTTTCTAAATTGAAAAAAAATTATAATTAGAAAACTTTTGGTATAAAAGAATTTAACAGCAAACCAAAATAATTGCGTCAAAGATTAGCAAAGATTTATTTATTACTTAACTCCTTTGGTAAAAAGAAAATTACAATTTTTATTTAAAATTTCCCTCTAGTTTCTGACGTATTCTTTGCAAGTTTATTTTTCTGTAAACCAGCTATTATTAAAAACTAATGAAATTTTGATTAATTGAAGAGAGAGTTATAAAGTTTAAAAAAAATTCGTTAATATAATGAATTGTTTATGCGAACGCATGTCAGACAACTTATAGTGATGCGTATTAAAGTTTACAATTAAAATTGACATTTAACTTCTAAAATGAAGTTACTCTTGTCAATTTAAAAAAAAAAAGTTTAGGATATCTTATAATGATTAGAAACTTTGATATCAAAAAAATATATATATTTTTATATATAAATACCATTAAAGAAAAAGAACTAGTAACTAAGCATCGTTAATTGTATTCACTATATTTGTCTGAACAACCGTTTACCTTTTTTGTCAATATCCTATATCCGGCCAAAAATGAATGAATCATATTTTTTCTGTGTCGCATTTATATGAATTTCACAAACTAAACATCTTTAGATGCTACCACGTCATATTATTTGTAAACTCTATTTATTTATTTAACTGTTTTGTAAGAAAAAAGAGAAAGACCTTGCGATATATCAAGCGAGTTATTATTCTAGTTATCAGTTGATTGAAAGTGTACACAGCCAACCAAAACAGAAGGGTAACACGAGGGAAATATATAGACATTGATCAAGACTTATATGGGTAACCCATTGCTATCCTAACGGAAGATGCATATGGTTTCTAAATAGGGTTCAGAAGAGTTTCCCTCAGGGAAACCAATTCGTTTTTTTGTATGTTTACTTAGTATACTTAATTTACTATTAGTATACTTAAAATAATGCTTATGAGTTATGACTTTGCGAAAACCAAAAGAGCCAGCAAATATCAAAAGTCTTGTAGACATCATCTTTTTATATTTTGATTTCTTCCTAAAAAATGGTTATAAACAACAGAAAAAGGTTTTTAAAGTTTTTTTTAACAAAAATCGCTAAATAATATTATACAAAATTGTTTATGTTTTCTGACTGTTAGAAACGAAAGTTGCATTAAACTTAGGTTGATTATTGTTGGGAGCGCATAAAGCTAATTGAGATCTACTACTATTGCTCCCAAATCTCTTTGAGTTTGGAAACCACTTCAAAACCTCCGTTACTACTTCTTCTTAAATGCAATTATTTGTATTCCGATTCATGTTAACGACACCTATTTATAAAACAATAACATATTGAAATGTACCCAATCAGGAAGCTTTTTTTAGTAATACCTAAGTAATACCTAGTGGAAAAGATTTTCAGATTTTAGAACCCTAATGGCATTATTCTTTTTCCTGTTGGGGTGAGGGGCTCCAACTAAGTAGCCATATATATATATTATTATACTATTGTTATGTTCAAATCATAGACCTACTTAAAGACTTACCAAATATCTTTAGTTTTTTTCAGAAAAATTTGCTTAGCAGAAAAAAATATTACTCAAAAGGCGATCAAATTAAACTTACAAATTTTCCATAACTATGCGCCAGTTATTGATCCAAAAACGTTGATTTAATACTGAAATTCACGTGTCAAAACAAATTATTTATTAATTATAAATATAAAAATTGTATGAAGCGGTAGCCTAATGGATAACCTCATTACTCTGGCGCTGGCGTTCCGAGATCTACTCCTACTTTTACCTATCATTTTGATTTTACGCTTAATTAACTTTATTAACGGAAACACTTAGGTATAGACACAGCTAATAAGTTTTAAAAAATAAAATAATTCGTCAAATATTGTCTTTAGATTTTCTAAAAAACTCTTTAAAAATGCTTTAAGCTTTCAATAAACTTGGTGCTAAAATGATCAGTTTGTTTTTTTATTTTATTTTTATATAAAATTTGAAGTGATAAGCAGAATAAATTACGCATTAATTATATTAAATTAGCAATTGGACTTTGATCGCCTTTTGCTAACCATCTTGTATATACCACGTGTGCACAATATAGTTTGGGATTTTTAAGATTGTTGTCAGTTTTTTTTATTGTTGGCTTAATTATTTTGCTCTTCAGTAAGTTGTCTGTTTAATGCCTTGTATTACAGCATACAGTCTTGAAAAAGGTAAATATTTGTATTTCAATTATTGTTTTTAATTTGAGTATTAACCTTATTGTTATCATAAATAATTT